GAGATCAACCCTGGGTGTTCATTGGAAGGACTGATGTTGANAGAGTCCCTTGGACTGCAAGGAGATCCAACCAGTCCATCCTAAAGGAGATCAGTCCTGGGTGTTCATTGGAAGGACTGATGTTGAAGCTGAAACTCCAATACTTTGGCCACGTCATGCGAAGACTTGACTCATTGGAAAAGACCCTGATGCTGGGAGGGATTGGGGGCAGGAGGAGAAGGGAACGACAGAGGATAAGTTGGCTGGATGGCATCACAGACTTGATGGACATGGGTTTGGGTAAACTCCGGGAGATGGTGATGGACAGGGAGGCCTGGCGTGCTGCGATTCATGGAGTTGCAAAGATTCAGACATGACTGAGGGACTGAACTGAACTGAATATGGAAAATAACCAACAAGGATCTACTTACTATTACAGCAGAGAGGACTATACTCAGTATTTTGTAGTAAACTAGAAGGGAAAGCATCTGAAAAGGAACACCTGTATTTAGCTGCATCACTGTGCTGTGCACCTGAAACTGACACACCTTTATAAATTAACCACACTTCAATAAAAAAAAATAAAACACTCAAATTAAAAATAAAAGCTATGGGAAATAATAGACACGGTGGGGTGGGGGTGCAGTCATGGGTGATGACTGTGTGAGTCACATCTGGAGCTCTGCATTTTAAGGTTCCTTCAGGTTTTGTAGAGATGGCACTAGAGAGCAAAGGCCAGGGTAGAATCCTAGATCTGGTGCCAGGATTGGCTTCTCAGCTCTCCTGAACCCATGATCAATTAGCCCATGAACCTAGGCTGCAGGTTTGAGAGCCCCTCATTCTTGAGGTCAAAGTGTTGTTTGATGCAGCCCTAGGAAAGTGATTAGAAATCAGTTGTCATTCATTTCATAATTGTAGGGGTAGGACACTTTTTGTCATTAATCTGAATTGAGAGATAACTTTTTTCTCAGAGAATTCTTTCTCCAAACTGAGAAAGAACTGGACAGATTCAAATATATGACCAAAAATGAGATCCTTTTTTCAGGTCTCTCTGCTCTTCAGAAGGAAAAACAGATAAGGAATGAACTACTGTGAAACAGGTATCCTAGGAAGAGTCTAGAATAGTAATATATCCATGCCTCACTCCAAAATCACTGCAGATGGTGACTGCAGCCATGAAATTAAAAGACGCTTGCTCCTCGGAAGAAAAGCTATGACCAACCTAGACAGCATATTAAAAAGCAGAGACATTACTTTGCCAACAAAGGTCCATCTTGTTAAAGCTATGGTTTTTTCCCATAGTCATGTATGGATGTGAAAGCTGGACTGTAAAGAAAGTTGAGCACTGAAGAATTGATGCTTTTGAACTATGGTGTTGGAGAAGACTCTTGAGAGTCCCTTGGACTGCAAGAAGATCCAACCAGTCCATCGTAAGGGAAATCAGTCCGGAATATTAATTGGAAGGACTGATGCTGAAGCTGAAACTCCAATACTTTGGCCACCTGATGCAAAGAATTGACTCATTTGAAAAAACCCTGATGCTGGGAAAGATTGAAGGCAGGAGGAGAAGGGGACAACAGAGGATGAGATGATTGGATGCCATCACCAACTCAATGGACATGAGTTTGAGCAAGCTCCAGGAGTTGGTGATGGACAGGGAAGCCTGGCGTGCTGCAGTCCATGGGGTCACAAAGAGTTGACATGACTGAAAGACTGAACTGATGCCTCATGGCAGCCTCATTACAGCCTGTTGCCCAAAGTAGGGTCACAAAATTAGACAGGAGAAGTCAGCCTACCTGCAATTTTGCTTCATTGGGAAATTTTAACTGATGTGATTTTCAGCTGGATTTAAATCACTCTGTTACACGGTCCGCCACTGGGACAGGCAGCTGGCCTATGTCTGTGCAATAGCACTCCAGGCAGAAATAATCTTCACAATATTACCTCTCACTCACAGCAGGTGTCTCTGAGGAGCTCCAGCACCAAATTCCATTTAGCAGGTAGAAATGCAACACTTTCATGCTCTCAGTGCATTGAGAAACAATTCAAACGTAACCATGATGATAGCAATCGTTTTATGACATGGCCATTACATTATCTCCATTGTTGCAATGGCGTTTCATTGGCTACCACTCATCAGTAGACTTGTGTGGTTCACAGGGATCTAATAAATTGCAGCAGATGGAGTTCTGAGTCTCCTCTGGAGAGCTGACTAATCCTACAACCTGTGGAACTGCTTTCTTTACATTTATGGCTCGGCCTTTTTCAGAGGCTGAAAATGAATGCGACAGGGAAACGGACAGAAGGCAAACTAGTTGCCAGAGTTGAGACGTTCCTCTTTTGTCCGTACTCTTCGGGAGCTGGATCTTATTCCAAACCATAGTGATTTCTTTCCCGTGCCAGGCACACCCACTGCTTTTGTTTACACTGGAAATGAGAACTCTGCACAGTACCTTGATGAGCTAAACTCAGTCAAGGGACATTCCTGGACCCTCCCTCTCATCCAAACCTAATTACCCTCGCCAGATCATTTCTCCCTTTCTTGTTGGTCCTATCAGACTACTCAGGCTGCCATAACAAATACTGTAGACTGGTTGGTTTAAACAACAGGAATTTATTTTCCCACAGCTCTGGAGGCTGAAGTCTGAGGTCAGAGTACCAGCATGACCAGGGTTTCCAGCAAGGGCCTTGTAAATGGTTGCCTCCTGGCTGTGTCTTCACATGACAGAGGGAGAGACACAAAGCAAGCTCTCCGGGGTCTATTCTTCTGAGGCGTCTAATTCCTAATTCTCTTAAGGACCCCACCCTCATGATCTCATCCAAATCTAATTACCACCCAAAGGCCCATCACCAGATACAATCACACTCAGGGTTAGGGTTTCAACATACTGATTCCGGGCAGGACACAATTCAGCTCAAATCACTAATATAAGACATGAGTAGGAGGACTCTACCCGTTTCCTAATGAATCTCCAGGTTCCTCACCAGACCCTATAATCTATTTTCAGAGGTTGATTTTTGAAAAACACAAATTGGTTAACATCACTCCACCATTCAAAAATCCTCCAGTGACATCCAACCATGTTTAGAAACCAATGTTCTGTGGACTAGAGATTTCTGTAGATTCAGACCTTCTTCCTCCTTCCAGTTCCGTGTTGTTCACCTCACTGGCCACACCAAGTTTTTTATCACTTCTCACACACATGCGAAGAGCTGACTCTTTTGAAAAGACCCTGATACTGGGAAAGATTGAAGGCAGGAGGAGAAGAGGACGACAGAGGATGAGATGGTTGGATGGCATCACTGACTCGATGGACATGAGTTTGAGTAAACCCCAGGAGTTGGTGATGGACAGGGAGGCCTGGCGTGCTGCAGTCCATGGGGTCGCAGAGTCGGACACGACTGAGTGACTGAACTGAACTGATACACATCGACTCACTTCTCCTTCAGGGATCCACAATTGCTGGCTACCTGGTCTGGAGCCCACTTTTCTAGATCTTTGAATGGCTTGTTTCCTATCTTCATCTTTCCTTTCTTAATTGTCACCTTGAGGCACTCCTTTTCCTCTAATTCTCTCTCACTGTATATTCTGGTTAATGTAAGCACTGTCCCTTGAGAGGACTTCATATATGAAACTTTGGTTTTTGTTTTTTTTTTTTTCTCTTCATAGTCTCAGTGACTGGAAGAGTGCCTGGCATGTGGTAGGTACAAAGCATTTATTACAAAACCTAAATTAAATATGATATAAGTGCCAATAGCTTGCACATACATTGTCCCACTTTATTTCTTAGACATCTCAAATTACAAGTTTCCAAATTGATTATCCTGTGAAATCAAAGTCTTCTCCCATGTTCCCTGAATAGAATGGTTCAAGCAACATCTGGAAGTCACCTTTCATTTCTCCTTCTCCCTCCACTCCTTACATCCAGTCAATAAGCAATCGTCTTACTCTATCTCTAAAACGCATCATGAATGTATCCTCTTTGCTCCATTTCTATCACTGCTATTCTTGTCCAAGGGTTTCCCTGGTGGCTCAGACAGTAAAGAATCCACCTGCAATGTGGGAGACCTGGGTTTGATCTCTGGGTTGGGAAGATCCCCTGGAGAAGGGAACAGCTACCCATTCCAGTACTCTTGCTGGAGAAATCCATGGACAGAGGAGCCAGGCAGCCTAGTCCGTGGGGTCGCAGAGTCAGACATGACTGAGTGACTAAGCACAGCACACATCCTTGTCCAAAAATGCCATCATCTCTGGCCTGGAACACAGCATCTGACAACAGATCTTCCACTTTCATTCTTGGCACATCTTCCCAACTATATTCTAAGCAGTAGCCCGAGTGATGCTGGGTATTTCATAGCAGCAGTGAATGGGTATGTGGTTCAACTCTGTGCTACTCTGTGGGCCTTGAAGATGAATGAACTCAGCATGAGTTTTGTCTCCCTTGGAGATTAAAAATGGAAACCTGTTCATGTAACCACCCTATAAAAGTGTTGAAAGATTTGTTCTCATTTGCCCTTTGAATAAAGGGCAATATCCTTACCCGGCCACCAGGCCCTCTGTGGTCTGGTTCTGCCACTTTTACACTTTCAGCTTGTATAGTTCTCCTCCAGCCTCTCTGGGTTCTGGTTGCAACAGTGTCACAGCCCTCTGAAACTGCCGCTTGCCTCTCCCTTCAGAGTTCTCACATAGCAGCTTCTCTGCCTAGGAAAAAGTCACTCTCATCTTCAGGTAACCACTGCTTCTTTTAAGCCTTGACTAAATGTCACTCTTTAAAGATGCCTCCCATGAAACAGCTCATCACAACTGATTCTCCCTAATGCACTCTCCTCGCAGCACTTACATTTAGCTTTATCATGATTGATAATTACAGACTCATCTGTAGCTGCCCAAGAGCTGCTTCTGCCATGAGATAGATGGTAAGTAAGATGCCTCCCATGAAACAGCTCATCACAACTGATTCTCCCTAATGCACTCTCCTCGCAGCACTTACATTTAGCTTTATCATGATTGATAATTACAGATTCATCTGTAGCTGCCCAAGAGCTGCTTCTGCCATGAGATAGATGGTAAGCTCTACGAATTCAGAAGTCATGGGAACATGTTAAAAATAACAGACCACATCTGCTGTATCCTCAAGGGTTGAGCTGAGTACCAGGTATGCCGTGGGCATTCATTATTTATTATTATAGCCAAAATAAGTGAAACACTCTCCCCCACCCCAGAAAGTACCCAAGGGACTTTTATCTCTGCTCCCTTGGATGGCTTAAAATAAAGTTCGATAACAGACTACTATAAAATATATAATACACCAAGCAACAGAGAAGGGAGGGGTGTTTCAATCATGACTTACATTGAAATTTCTTTCTTTTCTGCTCAAGAACAAAAATTTCCTATACATAGTATGAAAGAATCATGTTTTCTGTTAAGGAACTTACTTGCATTGAGTAATTATTTGCAAAGCATCAATTGTTCATTTGCAAAGCCCACCTTTCAGATCTATTCTTTATGATGATAAACTGCCAATTTATTAAGGGAGGCATTGGGATTTCACTATCAGAGTGAAATGATGCTACACAAAGTATGAACACGCACGTCTTCTACCCAGTGATTCAGTTCTTCGCCAACACTACTTTGCCATATGTAACAGGGCTTCGACATAGACTTTTAAAGTCCAAAATACTATTTTGTTTCAACAACAACAATTATTATTATTACTACAACCACAAAAGTCTGCACGTCTAAATGCAGGTATTTTTAATCAAAACAATACGAAGTAGCCAAGCATAATAGACATTCTGAGACCAAGTTTCAGGCAATTGGTTAGGACAGATTGCAAGTTGAGAGTCAGAACGAAGAGAATATCCCAATCTGGGTAGACAGTTTACACAGGGATCTTGGGCTGATAATGATTTTATATACTTAAATGGCTAAAAAACACACTAGAAAATAATCTGTGATATGTAAAATTAGTATGAAATACAACTTTCACACAATGATGCCCATTCATTTGCATGTTATCAATGTCTTTCACACTATAACAGCAAGGTTAAATAGTTGCAACATAAATTTTTAGAACTGAGCAGAAGATAGTAGATCATGTTATAATTAGACAGTATTCCTAATGTTATTTCTGATTGTGACCCACTTAGGATTGCTACCCATAGCTTGAGAAACGTTCGTTTGAATTTGTTTCCGCAATCCTGGTTGCATAATAAAGCAGTTAGGAAGTTCTTTAAAACTACTTGCCCCCCACCTCCAGACTCATCAAGTCAAAATCTCTGCATCTGGGTATTGGTCTCCAAATAAAAGCAAACACCCAGCTCTCTCAGGGTGATAGGATTGAGAAGCCCAAGTTGAGAAAGAATCCCCTGGATACTCCAAGCTTGCTCTTCAGAACAGCAGCGTCAGCACTTGGGAGTTTGTTGGAAAGGCAGAAACTTGGGCCCCAACCCAGACCTACTGAATCAGATTATACTTTCTTTTTTTTACAAGATGCTCAGATAATTTGCATGCACACTAAAGTGTCAGAGGCAGTGATCCAAACCCAGGAAAAGTTTGATTAAGCACTGCAGCATTAGGCTGTATTCTCCTCATTGTTATGGAAAGGAAAATGAACATATCTGTCTCTGGTTAGTATTGGATTTGGACCAGCAAGGGCAAAATGTATAATGGCAAAGAGTAAGATGGTATCCAGAAAGAAAAGCTATTTCATGGCTGGGAGTTTCTACCTGCAGGCGGCCATCTGACTTCAAAACAGGGGAATCTGGGAGCTGGATTCCAAGAACATAACAAGAGTAACTTTGATGTGCCAAACCAACCAGACATCTCAACTGGGTCCAAGTGTGTTCCAACCCTGCCCTGCTCTCTCCTGCAGCTGCAAGGGGGCCCATGACACAGCTTTGTCTGATCTCAGCCTCTGCACCTGGGCCAGAACCAGACTGATTTCTAGGAACCAGAGTATCAGCTATTTGATCAGAAACATCCATGTTTTAAAGGTCAAGTTCTCCGGTGCATTTCATCCCAGTGAGATCAAAGGCCGAGTTTGAATTCTCTCTGGTCGCTGAATCTGAGGCTTCCCGGGGACACAGTGAGTCACAGAGGAGCCACGGCGGGGTGAGGTTTTCAGCAACCTACACAAACTCCTTGGCAACTGGAACCTTGGACGGAAAGTTTTCCCTCTGTAATTTCCTCGGGCCTCTTCTACAGTTTAAACTATTTGTGTTCTCACAGCATTTCCAAATGCTGGTTTTACCCTCCACTGACCTGAGCGATTCTATTTGGTGCTGTTGTTAACTTTTTAAGTGCTGCTAAGAGACAACATTCAGTTTCGGTTTTTGCTTCGGTTTTGTTCTGTTTTGGGTGGAGGGAGAAGGTGTGAGTGGAGTTACTGGATTTAGAAGCAGGCGTTTATAGACATTCGGTCAAATAATACTAGATCTAGACATGGGTGTTAGAAGCCACCTTTTCCCCCTTAATAGCTCCCTTCCAAAACAATATACAAAAGATAAGAAAACAAATAAAAACCAGATCGAATTTAAAATGACCGCATCTGAACTTCTCTGGAGAAATTTACACAACTTCCCTTGGATGTTTTTGCTCTCAGTCCCACTGGTCAGAGTGTGCAATTCCCAGGGCAGTAGTTCTCAAATCGCCAGGAGAACCCATCTCGCCTGGGAACTTGATAGAAATATCCAGTCTTGGTCCTCATCCCAGACCTGCTGCATCCAAAGTGCTGGGGCTCCAGGCCAGCCCTCCAGGTGATTCGAGACATTCTAAAGTTTGGGGACCTCTGTTCTAAGGAACAAGTGAATTCACATCACTTATCATTTTAACTGGTCTCAAGTGACGGTTGAACTTTCTGGAAACGCGATTTACTAATCCCCACTGCCTTTGGAGAAAAGGTTGACTTTATGGAAGGCAATTCTGATTCTATGCAAACACAGATTAAGATCAATGTTTTACGGTCCCCAAAGCACTTTTCCAATAACAGCTAAAAAGTTATATAAACATGGCCAAACCTGGTTAATCCTCAGAGTCACCTCCTGCATTGGTCATCTTTTGTTGAAGATGATGTACTCCAACGGACATGAATCTGTCGCAAGGGAGAGAAAAATCTGCTCTCATTTTGCAATTGAATTTTAACTCCAGTCAATCAACTAGGTAAATTAATTTGGAAAGGATTAAAATACTTCCAAACAAGGAGGAGTTCATCTGTCAAGATTCAGTTAGCAGAAAGAAACCTGTTCCCCCAACTAGTGCTTTAAAAGTTGAAAGGCAAGAAGTGAGCCTGCAAACACATGCAGAGATACAGTCACTGCCCAAGTTATGTTTGCCCAGTGAGCCACAAAGTATGGCCTATCACGAACTTCTGTACAAAGTCAGGCTGAAAGTTGCTACCCAGTCCTTTGGGACAGCAGTATTTCCTAAAGGACAGTAAGCCCAACATCGATATAGGCTCTAAGCAGAAATATCTTGAGATTACACTTAGGTGTATGAAGCATTGCTGAACAACAGCAAAGGGATTAGAGGCAAATTATTTCCCATTTAGAAAGCCTTAAGAAATGAAGGCTAAATTTTGAGTAATATTTTAAAGAAAATAAACTACAGTTTAGTGGAGAAGCAGGAAAAGTAAATTCCAAGTGGAGAGCATTTCTTTCTTCTTAAATTTACATACCAAGCATTCATTCATCAGTCTGTCATTTGTTCATTTCTTCCTCAACAATCTTCAAACTTGGAGCTCTTCTGGGACTGAAAAATCATCACTGGTGGTAAGTATTCTAACTTATTATTGATTATCAAAGAAACACAAAAGGTTTGGTTGTTATTTACAAGTTATCTAAGTTCTTAAGAGCCTGATATTTCTGCAACAAAATTATAATACTTTTTTAATATGGTCCTTTTTTTAAATTGGAGGATAATTGCTGGTTTCTATCATACAACAACATGAATCAGTCATAAATATATATATATATATATATATATTGAACTTTTGTTGGCAAAGTAATGTCTCTGCTTTTTAATATGTTATCTAGGTTGGTCATCACTTTCCTTCCAAGGAGTAAGCATCTTTTAATTTCAAGGCTGCAATCACCATCTGCAGTGATTTTGGAACCCCAAAAAATAAAGTCTGACACTGTTTCCACTGTCTCCCCATCTATTTCCCATGAAGTGATGGCACCAGATGCCATGATCTTAGTTTTCTGAATGTTGAGCTTTAAGCCAAACTTTTTCACTCTCCTCTTTCACTTTCATCAAGAGGCTCTTTAGTTCCTCTTCACTTTCTACCATAAGGGTGGTGTCATCTGCATATCTGAGGATATTGATATTTCTCCCGGCAATCTTGATTCTTCCAGCCCAGCGTTTCTCATGATGTACTCTGCATATAAGTTAAACAAGCAGGGTGACAGTATACAGGCTTGATGTAATCCTTTTCCTATTTGGAACCAGTCTGTTGCTCCATGTCCAGTTCTAGCTGTTGCTTCCTGACCTGCATATGTATATCTCCTCTCTCTTAAGCTTCCCTTATGTGGCTCTTGTTAGATATCTTATATGTCCTACAAGGTAATTTTTCTTAGTGAGGTGGAACATTTTAGAGAAGTCCAGCAAAGATTCATTTGGGTATTTTGTTTCGCTTTGCAAACTGTATCAATATGTCAAATTTGTTAATTCTAGATACCCTTTAAATTCAAGACATTCAAAGAGGAGCTGTTCCTTCACCCAACAAAACCTCTATTCTTTGACTGGTGTTGACCAGTTTATCAGTGTTGATGAATTACTGTTAATCAAGATAGTCATATCTAGCGCCTTCTTTACAACCTGGCAAACCCACTTTAGCATCAAAATCCTATTGTTTCTACCTTTCTGACATCATCCTGACTTCCCAACTCCTTCCCTTTGCTACTGCAGTAGTTAGTTACAGCCTTTCCTGCTTTCAGTGTTTTATTCTGGTCAATCTCGTCTTTATGGTATAGTGGATGGTCAGACAACCTTTAGCACTTCTTGCTGACGTTTGGCTCATCTCCACCTTTTTATAGTTAGATCAACTTGCACAAGTTATTTCAATACAAATAGATCTTGTTTTTTCACCTGGAAAATGGGTATTATAAAAGTATCTACTTTACATGTATTGCTTGGAAAATTCAGTGATATAATCAA